ATATGACTATGGTGCCAAAATAGTGTTCATTGCACATAATTCAAACTCATAGCTCCAAATGAAATGTGAACACCTTTTAACTCAAGGCCGAAATGTGTTACTTTATCTTCCATACAAGACAAAGTGTGTTAGCTCATTTTCAAAAAAAATTTATCCTTGCCATAGGGATTAAAGAAAAGTATTGGAGAATACTCTACTTGTGTAACATCAAATCATCTTTATTTCCTTACTCTCATGAAAGGCTTCATGACAACCCCTTCGGGGGTTGCGAGGAGCAGGTATTGAAATCTCTTGTGCTAGAATCTTCTATACAGTTTCCTTTGGTTCAATGGTATTTGGATTTGCCATCTCCTAAATGGTTTCCTAAGTGTGGACTCCTAGGTTTAGTTGTTGAACTTCAACAACGTCGTTGTCACAGTCAAAAAGAGCCTCTCAATGGGGATGAGGTACCTGAGGAGCGCCGGGGACGAGAGCCCCGGGCCGGGGTCGTATCGGTTGACAAAGTTGGACCGGGGACCGGCGTTTGGGATGGGCAAGGCCGAGAGGTTCGACAAGGACTGATCAAGACGGTGGTGCTGTTTTGGCAACGTGAGCTCTGTTAACAAAAGGTTGGTTTTGATGAAAGAAAACTTGGCAAAAAGAATAGCTCACCTCCTCTTGTGCTGCATTAAGCTTTGTTCCTCGGATCCATTTCTCTCAAGCAGGCCAACGGAATGGAGGTTGTAGTCCGTCGACGGGGATGATCGTTGTTCTTGGTAGCTCCCTCGGTGAGACAAACAAAAATTTTAGTTCTTTACACCTTCTAGCAGCCTGAGCGCAACCACGTGTCCGTGCCACTTGTCAAGGGCACAACTACATTATACTTGCTCGAATCGCCTGAGAGAACAAGTTTTAGCATAGCAAGAAAGAAAGAAATAAAGATGGGATCCTCACCAGCGGTTTCCAATGCCGTGTTCAAGGAGATTTCTCGCAGAGCCGTCCCCATCTCCCTCCACAATCCAGCTCGTGATCTTGCGCCTCTCATCGAACGCATTGCCAAGGCCAAGGTGGTGATGCTCGGCGAGGCCACGCACGGGACGCGCGAGTTCTACGAGTGGCGTCGCATCATCTCCGAGATCCTCATTGCCAACCACGGCTTCACCGTCCTCAACATCGAAGGCGACTGGCCACCGTGCCAAGAAGTCAACCGCTTCATCACCAAAAAGGTGAGTTCTTCCGCTAGTGCCGAGGAGCTCCTTGCAAAGTCATTCAGGCGATGGCCGACTTGGATGTGGGCCAACGACGAGTTCCGGGCGATGGTGGAGTGGATGAAGGAGTTCAACAGCACCCGACTGGACCGTGAGTCTCAGGTTCGTCTCTTCGGTCTGGATGTCTACTCGCTATTCGACTCCATCGCGATTGTTCTGGACGAAGTGGCCAAGATTGACCCCGCTCTAGCTGAGAAAGCTAAGCATCACTACGCATGTTTCGATCCCTTCGAGGCAAACGAGGAAGAGTACCTGCAGTCCTTGGTGGAGTTCCCAGAGGGATGCCAGGCCGAAGCTCTCAGAGTTCTCAAGGATCTTCTGAAGAAGAGGATCAACGAAGAGACGGCAGCAGCGGATGGCGATGTCGTGTTTGATGCGCAACAAAACGCCAGGATCGTCCGGAACAACGAGAGTTACTATCGGGCAATGGTGTATGGAAATGAGGACTCGTGGAACGTCTGCGAGAGCCACATGATGGAGACACTGGACCTGCTGCTGAAGACGAGGCCTCACAACAAGCTCATTGTCTGGGCTCACAACACCCACATCGGAGACTACTGCGCCACCAACATGCGTAAGATGGGCCAGGTACTCGAGTTCTTTTTCTTCTCGTCACCTTTCAGCTTCCGACTTCCAGGTGAACATCGGCGGCCTGGTTCGTGAGAAATACGGTGAAAGTCAGGTAGCACTCGTAGGATTCGGTACCTTTAAAGGCTCGGTCATTGCTTCGTCCAAGTGGGCTGGTCCCATCCTGCAACTTCATGTTCCGGAGGGCCGAGATGGCAGCTACGAGATGATAATCTGCGAGGCGGCTCAGCAGGAGAAAATTCCCGGCGACGCTTTCTACCTCCTGCTTGACGATTCGGAGGCAAGAAAAGTCCAGCACTGTCTATCAGAATGGAGAGGCCAGAGGGCCATAGGCGTGGTATATGATCCAAAGAAAGAAAAGTGGGGAAATTATGTACCAACAATGTTGGCAAAGAGGTACGATGCTTTCATCTATATTCACGAGACCAAGGCGTTGAGGCCCCTTGGTGTGACGCCTGACCTTCACGTGCTTCCTGAAACTTATCCGAGTGGTCAGTAGAATGAGAATTCTGAAAAAACGCAAAACAGGAGTGTGTGTATTTAACAAAAGCTTGTCTTCGAGGTTTTTCCATACCGTGAAATGGAGTTCTCTCTTTTTTTGCTACACATACCCATGTCAGTTTCTATGCTTTTCTCTACTTTCTTATGCACTTCGCCTCTGTCTAATAAGACCAGGGATCTGCCAAGCTCTGGTTAATAAATGGTTTTCATCGGAAAAAGGCTTACATCAATACCGTGCGCACCGATGCGGTTTCGAGCAACAAATGTAAGTACAAGAGACGAAAATTCTTCGGGCACGTCTTCCTGTTCAAGAATGTTCCAATCAAAAAACTATAGAGCAGAAAACAAAAGAATGTTTTTACCTGTATCGCGTGACCAGTGTGACGGACTACAATCATTTGAAACTTGCCTTGCATTTGTCCAATGGTAAGGGATCTGAAACAATTATACGTTTGAGTGACATCGAAAGCAACTTCAAACATGCATACTTATCCAAACGGTCTGTTCCAGCCAGCAAGAGAACTTTTGTGACTGGTGCCGACAGAAAAATATCTGACAAACCTTCATACCTGCAAAGTAAAATAATCTCCTCAAAAATGGAAACAATGTTTGTGCAAAAATGCAAATACCAGCCTCTCCAATGTCGTTCACTCTTTTCCAACGGTGTAAGCCACACGTAACTGCAGGCAGAATAGACTGAACTGAAGCAAAAAGAAAAAGCAAAAAAATAAATAAAAAATGAAACTGACCATTTTCTTTCTTCATTGTATTTCAATGTTGGGGGGATCGAGACTCGAGCTGAGTCGATGTTCCTAAGCAAACCTCCTTTCACATTCCATTCTATCTGAACAAGCAAGTAAGGTATAATTTTACACTGGCCTTTTAGCTTACAGCTTTTTCAACACTAGGAAATGCTGGCGGACGGTTGGACAATAGTTTTTGCTATTGTCCAACAGCTGTCCGGTGCATTCTCCAGTCCAAGATGCGGACATTCGTCGGTATCTTCTTCTTAGCCATTATCTCATGGATCTCCCGCATTTCCTTGCCTTTCAACTGAGCCTTCACCTCGTTCAAAGCCTTCTAGAACTTGTGATAGGATTCGGAGTCGTAGATCATATAGTGGACTGAAGATTCCACCTCCGCAAGTCCCACCATTAAGTCAATGATGGAGCTGACTTCGTCTGCATGAGTGATTTCCTCGTTTGTGAAGTCCATCACACAAAAGATGTTCTTGACCTGCTCATCTCCGCGGGAAACGATGCTCCTCCACCTTTGATCCTCATCCGAATTCACGTATACCCGGTAAGGTTCTCGATAGGCCTCTGCTGCGGGGTTGAGCTGTTTCTGAAGCCGGCGGTCGACATCCCTCTTAATGAAATTTGGATACTGATCCAACTTCTCAGCTTTACTTTTCGTGGCATCCCATAGCAGATCGATGAACTTGGGGGCCCCCTTCACGTACTCGTCGATGTCTTCATTTGACAACTCCAGCGCTTCCATCATCTCTTGCGTGGTGTCGATGCTCACCCTCTCCACGGCCACTTGCTCGAAGATCCAATCCTTCAATAGCGCACGAGCTCTCAGAGTCGTGCACAAGTCCTCGTATGTCACAATATGGCCGGGAGTCATTTTGGTCTTGTTGAAGACTACCTCACCACATAGAAGAGCATTAGCCACTGTCAGAAGGTCGTCATCGTCTAGAGACCGCGAGAAATGCAAAGCGTTGAGCTTCAAATCATTGGGCTTCCGACCGTCCTCCACACCCATTGAGTTTAGCAACTCCCCGTCATGGTACCTCCTCAGCACATCTACCCATTTGTCAAAAACAACTTTTGTCGCGAGTAGAATGTTATGGATGCTGAGTGTGTCATTGACCCTCAGTGTTTTCGAGAGAAGACTCGAGAATTCCTGCAATGGAAATGGCGTGAGGCCACATGCTATGCCACATGCAACGAGGCTTACCTGCCAGGCGCTAGTTGCTAGTGCACATCCTTGTCCTGGTTCTTGTGGCTTCTTCAGTTGAACCCAGAGCTTCCGTGTTCGTGCCAATGTCTCGTGCAAACCCGATTTGTAGCATGTTTCTTGCTTGACATTCTGCGCGTGGGAGATGTATATGATAGATCGGAGGGGCGAGTTGCCTTTTATCAGGCGGACAACTCTTGTCTTGAAGACTTTCTTCACCTCCTCGCCCACCATAATATCCACAACTATCTCTTGCATCGCCAAGCTAGAATGCTGCCCGGAGACGCATAGAACCGGATGTTCTGATCGTCCAACACCTTCCTATTGATCAAGTCTGGAAACCTCGTCTCGCCCTTCATTGTTCGGTAGTAGGGGATCACGTCTGCGATGTCGGGTGTTACTGGACTTGCCAACATCTTCTGCTTCAGTTTCTCCACCCACTCATCAGATACTAGCCTGTGGTTGTATTTGCTTTAGATGTCGATACGGCTCACGTCGATTGTATATACTTTGTTGGAATAGTAACAAGTACTATTATCTGCGACGATTTTTGCTGCCTCTTCTTGCTCTTTCTGCTCTTTGCGGCTCTTCTTTTTGGTGGGTGTAGTGTTCGAACCCGAGGCAATGGCATCACCGAGTAGCTTCATTTTTGGAGCAGGAGAGTCGGACGTCGGCTTGAGCTTGACCACCCTTTTCTGCTTCGGGGTAGTTTCCAGATCAACCCCCTTCCCCTTCGCTTTGCGAACTGGAGGCACTCTCAACGGCTCAATGTTGGAATATAGTTTTTGAACATTGCCGTAGGTGAGGTCCGTGGATTCCATGTGATCTTCATAGACCCGCAACATCTTTGAAATTGTGGGCCTCCTGGACGACATCTCCCTAGCTCCCTCTAGGAATTCCTCATAGCCGTTGCCCCCCTCCGGGAAGCCGCTAGGATGTGCAAGGTGGATCTTGAAGGTGGACGCTGTCTCTACCACAAGTGCTAGTCCATATTCTTGCATGGAATTGCAATGAGTGTCTGTCACTTGGATGAGGATCCCCATGCATTCTTTTCTCCCACCATCTGTGTTGTATAGCCTTAGATCCTCGCCTTCCATCCCAAAAGTCCAACTGATGAGCTCCTCCCCCTTCTCTGCATCCACATTGACAGTGGCTGGAAGAAGAACGCAATTCCTCACCTGTTTAGAAATGCACAATAATTAGAGCTGACAGATGAAAAGTTAGCAGCTGGAAATAACGTGAGGCCACACGCCATTCACCACTGCATCAGATGTCTTGAGGCTGCATCCTAAGATGGCGTGAGACTACACGCCATCTGTAACCGGACTGCACTCGAGAGCCCAATCGGTGCATGCCAATGTTGCTACTGAATGGCATGTGGCCTCATGCCATTTTCTACTTGGCCTAAAAGACTTACCATTTGAAGCCGAATGGAGGCGTGACAATCGAGGCCGGACTCGTTGGCGAATGTGCACTGTGTGTGCAGCGGATCTTAGCAGCAAGGCTACTCTACCACTTACAGTTGGAGAGTGGCGCTAAAATCTCCCGGGACGCCAAATGGGCTGCGTGTGGGTGGCGAAGTGGGCGGTAGAGTTGGCGGCGAAGTTACAAACTGGGTGTGTCTTGAAGTGGACGCCGATGCACACGAGCGCGACGGGGGAAGCCGATGAGAGCATATTCTGCACGGAAGCGCTTTCCCATGCTCCAGCTGTGAGCAGCAGCAAGGAGTCGATCACAGTCAGGTCTGGAGACAGCCTCCCAGTACTTTGTGGAGTAGAACTCTTTCTCAAGACAGTCACACGGAGGCATCCCGCATACCTGTTTGCAGATAGCAGTGCTCGATCTTATGTTTTTTTGTCCTCCACGCATCTGCGTTTCTCACACTCTTCTGCAGAAGATAGAAGATAAAGCTTGGGAAGGCGGTGGAAACTGAGTGTTACACAAACTGAGGCCTCGATCGATCGCTTCACGTTCTCCTGTGGAAAGTACACCAGTTGGGGTGCCGATACAGGTGTATTCGTCCTCCCAGTGGTAAGAGCACCAAACTTCTTCGTATCTAGAAAACATCCATGAGGTAGAGTTTTTTTAGGCTTTGTTACCGTTGAGAAAGGTTGAGAAAAATCCAGTCCTGTAGAAGGACCATGCAGTAACCAGAAATGTGTGGGGCAAAGCAAGTTTGGCAAAGCAAGTTTGGCAAAGCAAGTTCAGCGATGCATCCACGGCCAACCAGCTTTGAGGTAAAGTAACCTCTGTTGTCGCTGAAACTCTTCTAGTAAATGCCTTCTGCAGATACTCAGGCGGAACAAGGCTTCAAGAAAGCCGGGTTCAAGAAGCTCGCGGTTTCGTAACGCGTAGTGTCCCGGTGGGGATGCCTCTGCAACTGCGGTTTTGAACGATCCAAGCCACAAGGTACCTGTTGATTTT